CATAACTCACTTGGTTGTGAATCAAAGTGTTTTGTGCATAATAGATTCTGTTTTTTTTTTAACTTTGCAAATAACCTCAATTTTATTATGTATTTTGTTCTTATGTTATAAACATTTACTGATTACTCTTATTCCAAAAGAGGTCTCTTATAATAAAGTAAACTTTAAGGAAAACTAATAATACAGTGAAATCTCTGAAAAGTCATGCAACATATCTCATCTTAGTACCCCTCTCCCCCAATACATATACCTCTCTTTAAAAAAATTTAACCGAAATGTAATAGATTCTTAATGTTATTGGAAGGACATGGATAGAGATATGAAGATGACTTGGGGTTTTTGTTAGATTATAAACTCAGTGAAAATCAGAAATGTCACATGAATGTCAAAAAGCCAAATTCAAATTCCATTTCAGGCTGCTGTTATAGATACATGAAGCTTAGGACAAAGTTGGCAGTTATACCCTGTCTTGGTCATAGGATTTAGAGCTGGAAGGGGCCTTATGTCATTCCCCACCCTGCTTCGTTAAAGAGATGAGGAAACCAAGTCCCAGAGAGAAGTGACTTGCCCAAGGTCACACAGTCATTAACAGAACTGATATTTGACTCCAGCTTTCCTGGCTCCAAGTCTAGTGTCCTTTCTTTTATGCTATGTCACCTCACCTGGTTGATTATGTTTTGTTCTAGGTGCCACAATTTAGGAAGGGAATTGACAAGCTGTGCCTCATTCAGAAAAAGAACAGCCAGATTGCTAAAGGAGCTTGAAGACATGTCATATAAGGTTCAGTTGAAGGAATGACGACTGTTTCATTTGAATAAACGTTATCTTAGAGGGCACACTCTCACTGACACAGGATCATTGTGAATCACATAGTTTGGCTCTAGAGGGGAGAACTAGGACTGATGGATGAAGCCATAATGAGGTAAATTTCTACCTTACAGTATAAAGAAAGACTTCCGAACAAGCCAGCAATTGTAATACGGTTAGAAGACCTGTGTTTAAATCTTTTCTATGTTATTTCCTAGCTGTGCAATGTTGAACAAGACCCTTAAAATCCCTGGGTTTTGGTTTCTTCATCTGTATGATAGGGTGAGTGGTAGTTGGATTAGATTGGAAGTTCTCAAACTTTTTGATCTCAGGGCTCCTTTGCACTCTTAAAAAATTATTGAGGACTCCAAAGAACTTTTGTTTCTATCAGTTTTTATTTACCAATATTTACCATATTAAAAATTAAACTGATAAATTTAAAAAACCTACTTATTAGCTCAGTTAAAATAACAATAACAAACTAATTACATGTTAACATAAATTACATATAAGAAAAAAAATATTTCCAAAACAAAAAAATTAGTGAGAAGAGTGGCATTGTTTTATATATTTTTGCAAATCTCTTTAGTATCTGGAGTAACAGAAGTCAGCTGGATTTTCAAGTCTGCATTCAATCTATAGGTATATGTTGTTTTGCTTGAAGTATATGAAGTATATCACACAGATATGTAGTTAGAAATGGGAAGAGTATTTTAATAGGTAAATAATATCTGAGTAATATTATAAAAATGGTTTTGGCCACAAGGATCCTCCTCCCAAGGATGTGAGGACCACTAGACCAGATGATCAATAAGGTCTCTTTTAACTCTTAATCCTATAACTTAAGTACAGTTGCCCAATAATGAATAAATGTACCTTATGAAGAAGTCAACATCCTGCCATTTTTTCCTTCTTTTATATTCTTTATTATAATAGATAGTTCTCTATGCCCCAAGGGCTATAAAAATGTGCATACCCTTTGACTCAGCAATAGCACTTCTAGGGCTGTATCCCAAAGAGATCATACAAATGGAAAAACGAACCATATGTACAAAAATATTTATAGCAGCTCTTTTTGTGGTGGCAAAGAACTGGAAATTGTGAGGATGCCCATCAATTGGGGAATGGCTGAACAAGTTGTGGTATATGAATGTAATGGAATACTATTGTGCTATAAGAAATGATGAGCAGGCAGTCTTCAGAAAAACCTGGAAAGTCTTGTATGGACTGATGCTGAGTGAAGTGAGCAGAACCACAAGAACATTATACAAAGTAACAGCCACGTAGTGCAATGATTAAAATTGATAGACTTAATCTTTCTCAGCAATACAAGGATCTAAGACATCTCCAAAGGTCTCATGATGGAAAATACTATCCACATCCAAAGAAAGAACTATGGAGTTTGAATGCAGATTGAAGCATACTATTTGAGATTTTTTTCTCTTCTGTTTTGTTTTGTTTCCTCTTTCTGATGGTTCCTCCTATTGGTTCTAATTCTTCCTTACAACATCACTGATGTGAAAATGTGTTTAATAGGAATGTATATGTATAGCCTATATCAGATTGCACGCCATTTTGGGGAGGGAGGTGGAAAGGGAGGAGAGAGGGAGAAAAATTTGAAGCTCAGAAGCTTATGGAAGTGATTGTTGATAATTCAAAATAAATCAATTAAAAATTAAAAAAAGACTGTTCTCTGGGAGAGGAAAAAGAGTGTGACATGTTGGGAAATGTTGACGATGTTAAAAATACATTAAAATTTATTTATAAAAGAAAAAAGAAATCAGGGCCCACATGATCAAAGGTATTCAAGTGGAAGCTAAATGACTATTTGATAGGGATATTATGGAAGAGATTCATGCTTTATCTAGAAAGTTGGACCAGATGATCTCCAAAATCCTTTCTAATTATAAATTTCTACAATTTTATGAACTGAAAAATTCATTCTAAGGAATGGAGATGCAAAAAATTAAGAAAAGGCTTGTTTTTAAAGAAACTAGAGTTCAATTGCATGAGGAACTGAATATAGAAGATAGAACTGAAGATGATAGTGTGTCTACAGAAAGCCATTCTAATGGGAAAAGGTTTCAGGGAGCAGACAGGAAAAGCTGAAAAATGTGTGTGTGTGTGTGTGTGTGTGTGTGTGTTTGTATGCATATCTTCAAGTCCCTTTCTTTCTGTCTCTGTCTCTGTCTCTCTGTCTCTCTGTCTCTCTCTGTCTCTCTCTTTCTCTCTCTCTCTCTTGATGAACGTAGCTATAGGCCTAGGAAAGAAAGAAACTATTTTAGGAAGATTTCTGTGATGGGGATTGAACTTGGGAAAGCTGAATTAGGGTCAAAGGGCTCTGAGGGGACTAGTTTCAATGTGAAATAAAGGGATGGGTCTCACATTCAGACAACATAAGACCTCCTTATTTAGTGAGCAAGGAATGTTTAAAAGCCATTGCATTGCTGTGAAGGTAAAAATAAGAATAGAGTAGCAAGGAAAGCCAGCATCCCAAGGACTGGAGCTAAATGAGACGTTAGGCTAATTTGGAGGTGAAACAGAAAATGTCTAGAATAGGTTGATAACTACAAAAAGCTGAGAAAAGATGAATTGAAAAATGAGATGAGTATCTGTAATTAATTGCTTCTATATATAATTTAAAGCTAGAGAGTTCCTCACACAATAACAAAATTATTTTAGTATATCAAATAGATGGATACGTGTTTATTTTCCTAAAGAGGACACTGTGGAATGAGAGTTGTTGCAGAATAAATGGAATAAAGAAGCTATGAACCTAAAGACTGTGGTCGGTGGAGAACACTGTGTCACTCACTTGGGTTTTATCAAGGAACTATCACCCTGAGGCCAAAGGACTGGGGAGCCTTCTAATCGTGGGCTGCCTAGAGCCCACTTTAAAATATAAAATACACTCTGTTAAAAATCAGTCCAAGCCAGTCAGTAAAAATAATGTTGTCACAAGTTCACAGAAGTGTCACAGGAATAAAACACTTCCCTTAGATATTTCTTTAGGTTTTTTTGTTAATTTGAAAAGCTGAACAGAGAAATTTAATACCTTGTGTAAATAAAGTACATCCATTTGGGGAGGGGGGACCTAGAGGCATTTTCATACTTCATGAATCAAATGAGCAGAATGATAAAACATTGTAGGTGCTCTAGAAAAAGCAAGTATTAGTACAGCTCATATTAAAAAGGTTCAATAAGAAGGCCATCACTCACGGCATGTTTCTATGCTCAGTTTGCATTTCGAGGATGTATTGGTATTTAAGTTATGATATAAAAAGTACTTTACTCGTTGAAAAGTCAAATGTTATAAAAAATAGAAGGCAATATTATATTCTATTACACATAGATAAAAAGCCTTGAAGGTAAGGGTAAAATACCTAAGATAATCAAGGTACTTAGAACTCCCACATAAACACAAATAATCGTGAAAGCCTGAGAAAAATGGGATAGAAAGGAGAGTTTGTTAAATCTGAAGCCTGCTGATTTTGACCTAATGAATTCTGTGAGGCTTTAGACATAAGAACTGGTACTGATCTGCATGGCACCTCTAGGCAAATCATCAATTTCAATTTCCTACTGAAGATCAGTTCTTGATTTTCTATAGGAAATAATTTTTAAAGGGTATAAAGTACTTTCATGGAAAAAAGAACAAAATCCACTTTTCTAGTATGCAAATAACCTTGCAGAGTATGAGTTAATATTCATTTCTTCACTTAAAAAAAGAATTTAAATTACAATATGTTATAATTAGTTGGATATAATTGTTGTTTTTTAAAAAGGTAAATATAAAACTTACTGTTAAACAATAGGCCAAGCCACTAGATAAAAAAATTATGACAAATTCATAAAAATGTCATAAAAGCACATTTCACTTACACATTTCTTTGTGCTTTTTTTAAAATTGAAAAAGTTTAATATAACAATTCCATAGCTCATGTATGTAGAATAAAGACCATACACTTAGCAAAAATTTGGATAGGCATTTCTATACTTAATGAACACAGAGTACTATGCTGTAAAGCTAGTATTAGTACATTTCAGATAAAAATGGGTACTAAGAAGTAAATTTCAGTCTCTTAGCATTTCTAGGATGTGTTGGTATCTATGCCATTATGTAAAAAAGTACAGTACTAGCTTTAAGGACAAATAATAAGAAAAATTAAAAATCACATTCAATAATTCATAGATTAAAGGCCTTTAGGACATATGCCTGAAGCTAATAAGACAGTGTCCACACCAATCTCTCCGGTTTTGCCCTTGCCACGTTCTGCTTCAAAAATGACCTGTTAGGGAGGAGAAAAGTGGAATTAAAACCTTTGAAATAATTAGCAAACATCGAATAGCTACCAAACAGGACTGCAAGCTTATTCTCTCCAAAGATAAAGAGGTTAGAGAAGGGTGTGTGGGAAGTGTTCTCCATATTGAATCATGTATTCTAAGTAAGGTTATATTCTTAGCAAGATCTAAGTCATTCTAAACAGAGGGAACTGAGTCTTAAGAAAATGCACTAGCAAGTACCAAGCACTTAAAACATTCTAAAAAGTCACATGATGCTGAGAAAGAATAAAGGTGTTTAAAAAAAAAACAACAAAAATATGTATATGTTTGAGATTTGGAAATTGTTTCTTAGGTCTGAGTCAATGGTATGGCATGCCAGAGCATTTTAGGATTAGAAGGGACTTCAGAGATCATCCACTAGGGATTCCTTATTTGAAGCCTGTGAACTTTAAAAAATATATTTTTTGATAATTGTAGTTCAATATAATTGGCTTCCTTTGTAATCTTATGTATTTTATTTTGTGCATCTAAAATGTAATTCTGAGAAGGGGTCTATAGACTTTACTAAACTACAAAGGTATTCTTTTGTAATCTTATTTATTATTCAAAATATTATTCTGAGAAGGGATCCATAGACTTCACTAGACTGCCAAGGGGGTCCTTGACACAGAAAAGATTAAGAACCTATGGATTCTAGTCCAATTCACTCATTTTTACAGATAAGGAACCGGCAAATACACTAATAATTGTACTAGCTAACATTTATACAGCACTTACATTGCCCCAGGTACTGTGCTAAACCAAAAAAAAAATAGATGTAACTTGGTACCTGCTGTCATCATTGAACTCTACTTCCTTTGACTTCCCAAAGATAAAGAGGGAATCTCAGAGATGATTTGTAGAATTCAGGAATCCCTAGTCTTTACTCTTTTTGATTTTTCATATTCTAATTTCTTATGTTTTTTTTTTGTTGTTGTTGTTATAGAGAGGCCCCATACAAAGGTGGGAGGGGAGAACAGAGCCAGGTTTTTTGCTGTTACAAACTTTCTGCTCTTCTCTGTTTTTTGAGATGGAGTTAGAGCAATGGCTAATGGGAAGATCCCCAAGACTTCTTCAAGTTACTACTGAGGGCATTTAGAAAATCATCTGTGTAGTCAAAAGTCAGTGGCCTGGCAGCAGCAGTAGTCATGACAGAAAGTACAGTTAATCAGGAATATGTGGAGATGTTGGGGCATTTATGATGGGGGCTCCATAGTCTTCTCATCCTGAACAAAACCATTTGAATGACACATCTTGCATATGTGGGAAATGTCTGCTGCCAATACTCCAGTGTAGACAACACTGAACCTGGAATATATTCTTTGGTCTGAATTGAGTGGTATTTTCAACTTCTCCATGCCCACATGGAGTTTACTTGGTTTCAAAAACTGCAAATAAGCCAGTGATCCTAAGTCTACTGCATGTTTTTGCTTAGGCAGATACAATGAGGGGTGATAGTCCCACTGTACTTTATTCTGCTCAGACCATTGGATTGTTATATTCAGTCCTGAGTATCATAGGTAGTTAAGTATTGCAGTGGATGGTTTGATGGGCATAGAGATAGGAAGACTTGAGTTCAAATTTGATCTCAGATACTAACGAGCTCTGTGACCTTGGGCAAGTCACTTAATCTCTGTCTGCTTCATTTTCCTTAACTGTAAAATGGGAACTCCTAGGGTAGTTGTGAGGATCAAATGAGATAATATTTGTTAAGCACTTAGCATAGTGTCTGGCATATGGTAGATGCTTAATAAGTGCTTCCTTCCTTCACGTTTTTGGGAGGATAATGATAAGATGAATATGTTTAGAGGAGGGACAGCTAGGTGGTGCAGTGGATAGAACACCAGCTGAGGAGTCAGGAGGACCTGCCTTCAAATCTGGCCGTGTGACCATGGGCTAATATCACTGAAAACCAATTGCCTCCAAAAAAAAAAAAGACACAAAGAATATGTTCAGAGGAGAGAAATTAGAATAGTAAGGGGACTTGAAATTAGACAGGAATTGGGGACTGTTAGCCTACAGAAGAGAAAACATAAAGGGCAAGTTATTGCTATCTTCAGTTATTAGAAAAAATGTGACATGGAAGAGAAACTTGAATTGTTTTGCTTGGTTCCAGGGGGTAGAACTAGGAACAGTGAGTAGAAGTTTTTCTTTTTTTTGTTTGTTTGTTTTTTTAGCTGGGCAATGGGGTTAAGTGACTTGCCCAGGGTCACACAGCTAGTTAAGTGGTAGGTGTCTGAGGCCGGATTTGAACTCAGGTCCTCCTGATTCCAGGGCCAGTGCTCTATCCACTGTGCCACCTAGCTGTGGCTTTAAAAGTAGAACTTTTAAAGAGGTGGGTAGATTTTAGCTTGATATAGGGATGTATGTCTTAAAAATTAGAGCTGTTCCAAGAGGAATAGGTTTCCTTGAGACTTGGTGACTTCCCCATTACTGAAGAATTTTTTTTTCTTTTTTCTTTTCTTTTTAGTTTTCAACATTTACTTCCACAAGATTTTGAGTTCCAAATTTTCACCCCATTTCACCCCTCCCCCACCCCAAGATGGCATGCATTCTGAATACCCCTTCCCCTAGTCTGCCTTCCCTTCTATCTCTCCCTCCCTTCTCTTAGCCCCTTCCCCTTCTATTTTCCTGTAGGGCAGGATAGATTTCTGTACCCATTTCCTGTATTTCTTATTTCCCAATTGCATGTGAAAACTTTTTTTTTTAAAACGTGTGTTTTTAAAACTTTAGATTCCAAATTTTCTCCCTTCCTCCCTCCCCACCCACCCTCATTGAAAAGGCAAGCAACTCAATATAGATTATACATGTGCAGTTATGCAAAACACTTCCATAGTAGACATGCTATGAAAAACTAACTCTATTTCCCTTAATCCTATCCTGCCCTCCCCCATTTATTCTATTCTCTCTTTTGACCCTGTCCCTCTTCAGAAGTATTTGCTTCTGATTACTCCCTTTCCCAATCTGCCCTCCTCTCTATCATCCTCCTACTCTCTTGTCCCCTTTCCCCCCCTATTTTCCTGTAGGGTAAGACAGATTTCCATACCCAATTAAGTGTGTATGTTATTCCCTCCTTAAGTCAAATCCTATGAGAATAAGATTCACTCATTCCCTCTCACCTTCCTCCATTTCCCCTCCACTGTAACAGCTTTTTCTTTTCTGTTTTTTTTTTGTGATATAATTTACCCTGTTCTACCTCTCCCTTTCTCCTTCTCCTAGTATAATCCTCTGTCACCCCTTAATTTTATTCTCCAGATATGACCCCTTCATCTTTAACTCACCCTGTGCCCTCTATCTATTTATCCATCTACCTATATATATATACATACATATAAGTTTTTACCTCCAACTACCCTAATACTGTCAAAGGTCTCATGAGTTACAAATACCATCTTTTCATGCAGGAATGTAAACAGTTCAACCTTAACAAGTCTCTTATGATTTCTCTTTCCTGTTTACCTCTTCATGTTCCACTTGAGTCTTGTATTTGAAAGTCAAATTTTCTCTTCAGCTCTAGTCTTTTCATCAAGAATGCTTGAAAGTCCTCTAATTCACTGAATGATCATTTTTTTCCCCTGAAGAATTATACTCAGTTTTGCTGGGTAGGTGATTCTTGGTTGTAATCCTATCTCCTTTGACCTCTAGAATATCATATTTCAAGCCCTCCAGTCCCTTAATGTAGAAGCTGCTAAATGTTGTGTTATCCTGATTGTGTTTCCACAATATTTGAATTGTCTTTTTCTGGCTGCTTGCAATATTTTCTCCTTGACCTGAGAACTCTGGAATTTGGCTACAATATTCCTAGGAGTTTTCCTTTGGGGATCTCTTTCAGGAGGAGATTGTTGGATTCTTTCAATTTCTATTTTGCCCTCAGATTCTAAAATATCAGGGCCCTTGATAATTTCTTGAAAGATGATGTCTAGGCTCTTTTTTTGATCATGACTTTCAGATAGTCCAATAATTTTTAAATTCTCTCTCCTGGATCTATTTTCCGGTTGTTTTTCCAATGAGATATTTCACATTGTTTTCTAATTTTTCATTCTTTTGGATTTATTTTATACTGTCTTGATTTCTCATAAAGTCACTAGCTTCCATTTGCTCCATTCTAATTTTTAAGGAAGTATTTTCTTCAGTAAGCTTTTGGACTTCCTTTTCCATTTGGCTAATTTTGCTTTTTTAGGGCATTCTTCTCCTCGTTGGCTTTTTGGACCTTTTTTGCCATTTGGGTTAGGCTATTTTTTAAGGTGTTATTTTCTTCAGTATTTTTTTGGGTTTCCTTTAGAAAGCTGTTGACTTGTTTTTCATGATTTTCTTGCATCACTCTCATTTCTCTTCCCAGTTTTTTCTTTACTTCTCTTACTTGCTTCTCAAAATCCCTTTTAAGCTCTTCCAAGGCCTGGGACTGATTCATATTTTTCTTGGAAGTTTTGGATGTAGGAGCTTTGACTTTGTTGTCTTCTTCTGGTTGTATGTTTTTATCTTCTTTGTCACCAAAGTAAGATAATATAGTCTGACTCTTTTTGTGCTGCTTACTCATGATCCCAACCAATTACTTGAATTTTAAACTCTTTGTTAAGGTAAGAGTCTGCTTCCAATGTGGAGAATGTACTGTCCCAAGCTTCAGGGGTTTATACAGCTGTTTTCAGAGATACTTCTAGGGACCTGTAAATTTTCAGTTCTTCCAAGGTGGTATGATAAGGGGGGAGGTGTTTATTCTCCACCACCACAACAAGCTCCATCACACCAGCACTCCTCCTCACCCCAAGACCCCCCCTCAGAACTGTGACCCAGATCCAAGCACTGGCAAAGCAAGAGATTCCTGCCTCAGCACTGGCAAAGAGATCCTTGCAATCCCCCTCTGATCAGCCACTGCATTCCCCCTCGGTCTGTGGGCGGGAAGCTCAGGAAAAAGGTGAGGCCCTGGGCCTCGCTTGAGACTTGCAGCTGAGACCTAGCTCCTCTCTCACTGCAGTAACAGACTTTTCCCTCTGACGTTCTAAGTTGTCTTTGGCGTTCAGGGGTTGAGAAGTCTGGAAACCGCCACAGCTGCCCGCAATTCAGTCCTCTGAAGCCTGCTCCAGGGTCGCTGTGGCCTTCGCAACCACACTGTACTGCGCTCCTCTCCCTGCCTGGTGCGATATACCTTTCAGATCAGCCATCCAGGCTGTCTTGGGCTGGAAATTTGTTTCACTCTGTCATTTTGTGGGTTCTGCTACTTTAGAATTTGTTTAGAGCCATTTTTTGTGGGTATTTGGAGGGGTTTGGGGGAGAGCACAAGACAGTCACTGCTTTCCCTCTGCCATCTTGGCTCCACCGCACCCCCCCCCCCACTACTGAAGATCTTGAAACAAATATTGGAAGCTTGCTTGCTTCAGAAGTGGTTAGGACCAGATGACCCCTGAGGTCCCTTCTATCCCTAAGATTCTGTGACTTTCTGTGCTCTGAGGCCTCTCCAAACTCTAAATAATAGCTAACTTGAAGGTTTACATAGTGCTTTACATATTTATCTTATTTTATCATTTCAACAACTTTATTAGTTAAGTACTATTATTATTACCTCAAATTTACCATTTAAAATTATTAATTATTTAATTTTTAACTTAAGGAATAAAACAAGTATTTCCATAACATAGCATAATAAAAGAAGATGATTGCCCATGAAATTCCAAATCTATTATGTGTATCTTGCTATTCCTTTTAAACATATAATAAAGTTGTCATGTAATTTTTTAAAAACTTTTTTTTTTCTCTTCCCTGTGGCGCCCCCCACCATAGCTACCATTAGACACAAATATGAATATGTGTATATATGTATATGTATGTATGTGTGTATATATATGTAAGTGTGTATAATATGTAAAATCTTTCTATATGTACTTCTATTTATTAGTCTTTCTCTGGATGCAGATAGTATCTTCCTTCATACATCCTTTATAGTTAATGTCGGTATTTATAGTAACAAAAATGACTTATTTGCTCGAAGTTGTTTGCTCTTCATTGCTTTGTGCAAATCTAGCCATGTTTTTCTAAGATTATTGAGCTCATTTCTTATAGTACAGTAATATTCCATCACAATCATATACCACAACTCATTCAGCCATTTTCCAATTGATAGACATTCCTGAAATTTCCAGTTCTTTGCCACCACAAATAGCACTACTACAAATATTTTAGAACATATGGGTTATTTTCTTTTTCCCTAATCATCTTGGGAAACAGATCTAGTAGTGGTATTGCTGGGTCAAAGGGTACAGCCAATTTAATTCTTTGGGCATTAATAATAACAATATCTAGTATTTACATAGAATTTTAAAGCTTTCAATACATTTTACAAATATTATCTTATTTGATCTCAAAATAACCCTGGGAGAAAGTTGTTATTATCATCCCCATTTTATGGATGAGGAAATGGAGGCAAACAGAGTTTTTACAGATGAGGAAAATGGGACTAAAAGAGGTTAAATGAATTGTCCAGGGTCACATAACAGCAAGTATCTAGGGCAGGATTTCAACTCAGGTCTTTCTGACTCCAAGTCCAATAGTCTATCTACTGCACCGTCTAGCTGCTGAAAGGTTGTGATTTTTTTTTTTTTTGGTCCCAGCTTTATGGATATCTGGGCTTTTTTGTAGTGACATCTACAATCATGGCATTATGGTCTTCAAGTTATTACCCATTATTTTTGACAAGCAAAGTTTAACAGAACCTTAGTTCATGAATCTGCTAATTATTCCCTGTTTGAATCTTTGAACATAAAGAGAAAAGTAAATATTTTGTTTTCACTTACACTCTTGGTAGTCTCAATTCCATGATACAGTTGAATTTTCCCAGTCCTCCATCTTCCATCCTCGCTGCTGGTCTCCTCCCAGGCAACAGTATTATTTTTATCTTTCAGAAATACTCTAAGCGTCCCCACTCTTTCTCCAGCAAGTCGATAATCAAACATTAAGCAGAAACTGCTTTGGGGCTGAAGATTGGTAAGGAGAAGTGTCAAACGACCAACATCCTTTTTCTGTCCTACAAAGGCTGGGACTACCATGTAATACCCAACAGCTTTGGGAGAAGAGAAAGTCACTGTTAATAAACCTTGAAATTCACTTGAGGGAAAATTCTTCAATTAATAAAATATCTTAAACTGAATTCTAGTTTCCTATAAGGAAGATTGAAGTTCTATTATTTAAGTTGTGATATCTTAGTATTTTAAGGCTAGAAGGTACAATTCCCTCATGCTGCTGATTAGAAAACTGCGGTCCAAAGAAGTTGACTCCATTTGAATCTAATTTTCTTCAAGCAGAATAGCTTTGAAAATCACATGTTAAACTTATTATACACTTAAAAGTCAGAAAAGTAATACAGAGACTCTCAGATTCATATATAATCCTCTCTTATGTTCTACTTTGTATCTGGAAATGCTAATTTTTTTATTATATGTTAAGTTTGACTAAAAAAAGTAAAAAGAATATAAACTCCTTGAGAGTAGGTACTGTTCCATTTCCACCTTTTTTCTCTTAGCATGATGTCTGGTACTAGTAAATATTTAATAAATGTTTGCTGAATTGAATTGAATAGACTGTGCATCATAGGAGGATCTTAAAGGTCATCTGGCCCAATCCTCTTATTTTTACAGATGAAGAGAATAAGGACCAAGGAGAAGTGACTTACTCAAGGTTATACAAGTAGTGAATAGTAGAACTCTACTTTGAACTCAGAACATGAACTCAGGCCTTCCAAATCTTCCAATAGTCTGTAATGGAGCTAAGATCAAAAGGAAAGCAGAAAACTGAGGGGAAATCTTTGTAGTAATTTAAAAAATGTTTTTATTCATATTTTCTGTTTCTTATATCACCATAGTAACCCATGTATCTTCCTCCTCCTCCTTTCCACAGGGCTATACCATATGACAATTAGCATTTTTTAGAGAGGGAAAAGAAAGTCAGCACAATTAATTAATACATTGAAAAAAATCTGAAAACATATGGATTTCTTACCTCTATGAAGGGGTAGGTTGAGATCTTTTCTCATATGTCTTCATTTGGGTCCTATTTAACCTTTATAATTTTGTTACATTTACTTTTGATTTTTTTGGTATGCTGTTTCCATTTACCTTGTTGTAATCACAGAAATTTTAGCATGTTCTTTCATCATTCCAATTTTTTACATAGTTATTAATTGTTTCTATGAGATATTCTTTGCCCTCATTATTTAAGATTTCATTGTTGTCTCAGTTTGGGTCTATATCTTTTGCTTGTGGTCCCTGAACCAATTTCTATTCTTGTTTCATGATGGTCTCCAAAGGATATATGGACTAGTTTTGCTGTTTTACATTTGTTTGCAATATCTCTGTGCCCTAGTACATGTTTGATTTTTGTAAAAGTTCCATGTGGTACAGAGAAATATATGTGTGTATGTATGTATGTATCTATTCTTTTGCTGTCCCATTTAAAATATGCCAGAAGTTTTTCAATTTTAGTTTCTCCAGAAATTTCTTCAGTGCCATATTTTTCCTTTAGTCTGTGCTTCCGTTAGACTTCTCCAAAACTGGGTTTTTTTTATCGAAGTCTTCTGTCACTATTGTGTTATTCTCTATGCCTTCTTGAAGCTCAGATGTTTCCTTTATGTATTTAGATGCTAACGCATTTGGGAGCGTATAAGTTTATTATTGATAATAATTTGTTGTCTTTGGTTCCTTTCAGTATAATGTAGTTTTCTTGTCTATCTATTTTTTGAACGTTTTTACTTTGTCTGATAGCATGATGGCAACTCCTGATTTTTTTTTTGTTTCACTTGACACATAATATATTTTTTCCATTCCCTGTTTTATTTTGTATTTGTCTTTTAAAATGTGTTTCTTATAAGCAACGGATTCTTTGTAGCATTTTTTTTTTCTTTCTGACAAGGGCCTTATTTCCAAGATACATAAGGAATGGATTCAAATTTATAAGAATTAGAGCCAAACCTCATTTGATGAATGGTCAAGGATATGAATAGACAGTTTTCAAAGGAAGAAATCCAACCTATTAATAGCCATATAAAATTCTCCAAATAACTAGTAATTAGAGAAATCTACATTAAAATGACTCTGAGATTTAATCTCATACTTATCACATTGACAGTGTTGACAAAAAAAGGGATAATGAGAAATGTTGGAGGAGATGTGGAAAAAGCGCATTAATGCAGTGTTGGTGGAGCTTTGAATTATTCTAGATCTTTAGGAAAGCAATAATAAAAAATTAATAATACTTTTACTAAGCCTATAACTGAAAGAGACCCAAGAGAGAGAAAAAAGGATCCATATGTGCAAAACATTTATATCACCAATTTTTATGGTGTCAAAGAACCAAAAGGGTACCCATCAATTGGGGAATGACTTAACAAATTATGATATATGAATAGTACAGAATATTGTTGTTCTGTATGGTTTCAGAGAAACCGAGGAAGACTGCATGAACTAATGCAAAGTGAAGTGAGCAGAACCAGAAGAACAATTTATACAATAACACCAACGGTAAAGTTGAGCATTTCTGAAAGAATTAAGAATTCTGATCGATGCAATGATCAACCATGACTCCAGAGCAGTGATTTCAAGCTCAAATAGAAATGGAGGCCATTAAACTGTACCTAAGGATCTGCGTGAGCCAATCTTGACTTAGAAAACCACATATTAACATTATTCATGTTCGATTATATAATATTTTATTTTGTTAAATATTTCCCAATTGTGTTTTAATCTGGTTCAGGGCACAATCAGGACTGTTGTGGGCCATGGCTTGTCATGTGTTTCACACTTCTCTTCCAGAGTACCAATAATGAAGCATGCTCCCTCTTTTCTGATAGAGAGGTGATAGATTCAAGGTGTGGAATGATACATAATTTTTAGACAAGACCAATGCAGGGATTTGTTTTGCTCATTATTTGTTATAAAAGTTTTCTTTTCTTTTTCTTGTCAGTGGGGGATGGGGAAATAAGAGGTGGGGTAGATGGGTGGGTAGAATGGAAGAGAGAAAGTAGATCTTTATGGATTGAAAAAATTAAATTTACTTTCAAAATAAATCCTAGTGTCTTTTTCTTGTGCTTTATGGAGTCTTTCATAATCATATAGCTAATTAGTGACAGAACTGAAATCAGAACCCAAATATCCTGACTGAATTATTTAATATGATTTATTTGATATTATAAGATGTATAACTCAATTGAACAGGCTTGTTATAACATAAGTGGTCACTTGATTTCTAACATAAAATTACAAATCACAAATTTTTACTTATTTACTTATTGATCACATGATTTAGCATCATTCATTAGAGTGAAGATCTGCTATCATTAAAAGATTTCCTTCATTAAAAGGTTCTTTTCTTCCTGGGATACAAGGTCGTGGACAAAAAAAGGAAAACTCATGGTAAAAAAAAAAAAACTAAAGAGAACCTATTGTGTTACCAATTGTGAAATTGTTCTGTTTTGCAAAATTTTGTAGGTGTAATTCAATTCAATAAACACTTATTAAGACTTTGCTAAGTATAATGGAGAAGAAAATGGCAAACCACTCTAGTATCTTTGCCAAGTAAACCCTATCCAGGATCATGAAGAGTTGAACATTATTGAACAACAAAGTACAAAGGACTGTGCTAAGCAAGGAGGAAACAAAAATAAAAACATGGGGCTTACATTCTAATAGAGAAGCTTTTATTTGAATGGAATCAACATCTTTGGAATGCAATTTTCTCATTAAAAAAGGGAGTTGAACAAAATGACCTCTTCTTGGGAAATATAACATATGCAAGTATATATAAAGAACACAAAGTAAATTCAAGAGGGATAGAGTGATAATAATCTAATGCTGGAATAAAAGATTATCTTTACCTTCACCTCTGTCAAAGTGTATAAAATCAGTATATAATTTAAATACCATTATCTCGATCAGCAGGATTCCAGTCAAAATCATCTTCTGTATCCTGTTTCCAATCACAAATCCCCTCATCAAAGCTGCAGTCAATTGAAGCATTTAAATCTATTAAGAGAAATAGTTCATTTCAAAACCATTTGGAAAATTCAGATGAAATATGTAATATTTGAACATTAGTAGACATCAATCTATTTTAAATTGCATAGATTTATAGTTAATGGCAATTAAAATGCCAATCACACATGGACTACTGAATTTTTGATGGCCAGCATCTCTTGGGCCTAAACTCTCACTCAGAGTTAATGTAATAACCAGATATGATATTGTACCCTTCTCTTTATTGCATAGCATTCTAATTAAGAAGGTCATATTACTATTATGCAGAAGAAATAAAATGACCAACGTAGCCTATAAAAGTGTAATATTCCTTTTTTTGTTCAACATGATGCTTATGTTTAAACTTTATAATTAAATTTTATGTTTTCTTAATTATAGTATCAAGTCGCCCTGTTTAGGTATTGTATGGAAATGTAATTTGTTCAACCATTCAGGGAGGGTTGGCACTTGAGGTATCTTTTTATATTACTTTCCTGTAGACCAGGGGTTCTTTTTTTTTTTTGTTATGGATCCCTTTAGCAGTCTGGAGAAGCTTATGGACCACTTCTCAGAATAATGTTTTTGAATAAATAGGATATATATTCAAAAAGATATATAGGATTATAAAAAGAAACCAATTATATTTAAATATAGTTATCAAAATATTAAGAAAAAAATTCCAAGTTCACAAACACTAGACTAAAAAGCCCTTTTGTAATACTCCTCCTCCTCCTAACTGTTTATAAAGAGTTTCAAGGTTGGCACAACACTTCACAAATATTATCTCATTTTATCCTTACAACAACCCTGAGAGGTAGACCCTCTTATTACCCCCCTTTTCAGATGAGGAAACTAAGGCATACCGACGTTAAGTAACTTGCCCAGGGTCATGCAACTAGCAAGTGTCTGAGCCCAGATGTGATCTTGGATCTTTCTAGTCTATCATTCTATTCACTGTACCACCTAGCTGTCTATTGCTGTTGATAATAAAAAGTTCACAGTGATGTGTGTTAGGGTAGGTTGCTTTAGAATCTAGGCTATAATCAAGGCTAGCCTTTGCCTCTAAATTGGGATTTTAATTCTTTTTTGTTTGAGGGTGGAGGGATAAAGAAGAACGTTGAAGAGAGACCTATTTCAGAATAGTTATTAAATCTTAAATTAGCCAGGGCAGGGAGATGTTAACAAGAAATGATATAGCATCGGCAATATGGATTGCTCTGAGTTGCAGGTTCAAAAATGTCTGGTTTAGCTCCTCTGCTCATTTCTCCTGTTCTCTTTCCCTTCCAATCTCCCCTTTCCCCCTTTTCCAACAATGAAAATTTTATTTTCAATTATGTTTTTAAAGTTATTTATTAAAAGGTGCCAAGAATTTCCCTCTTCTAACCTTTAAAATCTGAACTTTTCATATGCATTGTCTTTTGTATATGAAGATGGTGTGCTGGTCAATGTTTAACAACTGTACCTCTGGGAAAAATGTATGCATGACATACTTTAAAGTTTAATCTGCATTATTAATCCACATTTTTGAAATGACAACAGAGGGAATTTGCATGTAATCTAGAGGAATGATTTTCTTCCTTTACCAAGATATACATTTAAACCATCTTGTTTCCTCCCTCCCCTGGAGGGGTAGGGAATAATGGGACAGAGGCAACTAGTTTTGATATTTTATAATCATTAGTATTCATCAAATAAGTATGCAATAATTAAAATAGATCACTGTGGTAATGATGTATTCTTTGGGTTTAAAACACAAAGCCACAGTGATTCATTATTAACTTTTTATCCATTACTTTTTTAAGTCTAGAAATTAATAAAAACAACAGATTAAGTCCTTATTTATAGTGTTTCCTGATTTCTAAGATGTAAATGCTTACACTTAAAATGTTCTCTGGACCCAAGCCTATATGCTCTATTGATTAACCATCAATAAGGCATATATTTGGAGTTTTTTTTACCTGTAGTGATGGTGGATGTGTAAAGACTTATGTCCTCTTCCTTTATTCCATTGTGACAAAAGAGACCTATTTTGGGGACATCAAGGCAGGGTTAGGGGCTATGGTTGTGGTAGTAAAGCTATCATATGGTAAGCTCCGACAGGAATGGGTCTGAATCTTTACTAAACTTTATATTTCCTCCAGCAGACCTCGATTATTAGTATTATTTTTTGGTGAAAACACTTTTAATGAGGTCAGAATTAGAGATTTCACACACACAAATAAGTTAATAAAGGTTTGGGTGTCTTCTGACTTGAGATTTTTTTTATTAAATCTTGCTATTTCTTAATTCTGTTATCACAATAAAAATAAGTATTGTTAACTAGGTTTATTTTTTTCAAGCACAAATGTCTGCCCAAGACATTTTGTTTATGGGCAAACCTATTGTAAATGGATTACTACTAATAGTAACAGCTCACATTTATAATGTGCTTTTGTCACAACACATAAAGCAAAAAATATGATCATTATTATTCCCCTTTTATAAAAAAGAAATTGGGGCTCAGAAAAGTTAAGTGATTTACTTATAGATCTTAATTATTATTGAAATTAATTGAAACTTACTAGGAATCATATCCATGCTATTCTACTCAACTGAGCTAACTAGAAGGTAGCTAGTTGTCTAAAGAGAAATTCCTAATTATAATAGTAACAACAAATATTATAATAATGATGCATTGGAATGAATCAGGAAGACCTGAATTTGAATCCTGCCTTACACACTCACCAGCTGTATGACCCCATGCAAGGCCCTTAATCTCTATCAGCTTCAGTTTCCCCACCTATAAAATGGGGATAATAATAGCTGCTACCTCACAGGGTCATTATGAGGATTAAATGAGCTAACCTACATAAAGTGCTTTGCAAACATTTTGACTCTATTTTAAATGAACAAATAACCTCTTTTCCACCTCATTAAGGTCATGTAAGTAATGAAACATAGTATGAGAAAAGAATGTCTGGAAAAATAAAAGTTGATTTGTATTTGTAAGATGTGTTTTCTGTGGACGTGACCATGAAGCACCTACGCGATCTGGTAAGACCACAGAGCAAATCTATAGCCTAGATGGAACCAGAGTCTGTGAGTTTCTGATTCTTGGAACAATGTCTTTGTTTCATTAATTAATGACACATTTCTGACTAATCAGGAAACAGAGACAAATGTTAACAAAGAGAAATGAAAAGTCACACACTTAATGGAAAGATAGTTGGAAGCAGGGGACCAAAGGGAGCTGTGGTGAATCTACCACTGGTCTTCAGGAGACCTCTGTTCCTTCAGAAGGCCTTCTCAGAACGTGTTTTGAGGAATGACCTGGAGGAGGCAGAGAGACAGCTTGTTAGAAAGCAGGAGAAATTTTACAGCAGAGAAGACAGAGGGAAAGCCATTGCAGACACAGAAGCAACAGAAAGGAATGAAAAGTAGCATAAGCTTTGAGAATGTAGGACAGAAATGTGAAAGTATGAGAGGAGCCAGAGACTAAACACCAGGGACAATATTGAGGAGCCTTGTAAAGGATATGATGTTCAAACTTAAATGTCTTCACTGCTGATTGGAGGGGCAAATGTTACAGCAGGGGAAGTTGTTTTATGTGTGCTTTGGTCAGGGATTACTTAAAACAGGGCCCTGGGGAGCCAGAGACAGTGACCTCATTGCGCTAACAGTGGGTTTCCAGCCCACATTATCAATTTGAAATGCCACTGGAGGGAGTTTGCATGCAATCTGGAGGAGGTAGCTTTTCTCTTTTTCCAAAGATATTCATTTAAACCAGCCTGTTTCCTCCCTCCTCTACTGGGGCAAACAGTAATGGGACAGAGAGAAATTAATTTTGATATATTGTTATCATTAGTGTTCATCAAATATGTATGCAATAGTTAAAATAGAGAGCTATGATAATGATGCATCCTCTGGGTTTGCAACTGGAAGGGAGTTGAGTTGGCACAACACCACTGTGAGTCATTAACAATGATCTCATTGACAGTTTAATAAAAATAAGACACAAAACCATACCACATGAGGAAACACAGATTTGGCAAGGAAAGATTTTTTACCTTTGTGTTCTAATTTTGAGGTCACAACTTTTCTCTGGACCAGGAATAGATCAAATGGAGCTGCTTCATTATCCTTAGAGACTAACAAAAAATACTTGTCATTATAAATAATCTGAGGTTAGGAAGATATGCAAGTATTTCCCATATAGAGTATTAATGCTTATGTTTCATAGAATTCAGCTTCTGTCCACAACATCACAATATTTTACCCCCTTGATTAAAATACAACCATTGTAAATTATGAGTTAAATATATAACGTTACATGGTAATAATATAAGGTTCCTCTGAAAATGGCATTTTAATAGCTGTCAAAGCAGTTTAATTTAAATGGCTATGCCTATAAAATTATGCACAACTATAATGAGGCTTCCAAATGCTTTTTATTCAAATACAGAATTTCAGGATTCCTGATTCTTAGCTAAGTATTAGTGGATGAATTTAAAGTTGAAAGGTTCAACTTTAATTAATATTAATAGCTAACATTTATATGAGACAACTAGGTGGTATGGTGAATAGAGCCTGGAGTCAGGAAAACTAATTTTCATGAATTCAAATCTGGCCTCAGATACTTACTAGCTGTATGACCTTGGGCAAGTCACTTAACTCAGTTTGCCTCAATTTTCTCATCTGTAAAATGAGCTGGTGAAAGAAATGGCAAACCACTCCAGTAGCTTTGCTAAGAAAACCACTAATGGGGTCATGGGTAGTTGGACGCAGCTGAACAACAACACATTTATGCAGTGCTTACTGTGATAAGCACTTTACCATTATCATCTCATTTGATCCTCACAACAACCCTGGGATATAGGTGCTATTATCCCTGTTTCACAGATGGCAAATAGATTTACAGAGGGAAATAGAGGTTAAGAGACTTGCCCAGGGTCACACATCTAGTAAGCATCTAAGGCTGGATTTGAGCTCAGGACTTGGCTTGGAGCTCTAATGTCACCTTTGAGTTTTGTTCAAATGATACTTAAATTTTACTACTATTAAAGCTAGTAATAAGGAAGGTTTCTCATAGGAAAGTCATGCTTACTCAGCATATAATTGTTTTTAGATTTCTATTTCTTTTGGTTAATAATTTAAAAAAAAACTAAACAAACCTCATGATTATGAACCTAAACTCAGGTAGCATGAAACAATAGCTAGAAAATAAATATAGGGCAATGTCCAAGCCGTAGTAAGGTGTGAGGCAGCAGTCAGAATGCTTTAAAAATCCTAAGGCAATTTTTGAAACCAGAACACATTCAAAATGATTGTAATAGTTCAAACCTTAGACCTAAATGATTCAAATAGTGAAAGAATCTTCTAGTGGAGAAAAGACTGTGAGAAACAAATGAACAGAAAACACAGCCTTACTTTACCAAGAAATAATGATTTGATTTCTGGCTTCAGCATGTTTTTAATATACCGCGTCCCAATAATCTTACTGCAGATTTTGTAAATGTACAGTAAGACTTTTGGGACACAGAGTATTTCTTCCTGTCACTTTTCCTTCTTTCAGTGTCTTACCCTACGATCCCTTACCCTATCATATTTCTTTACACCATACTACATGATGGTGGCATCTTTCAGATGAATTATAATTGTGAGTACCTTAAGTCAATTTACTATACTTTAAATAACTGAAGGTGGTTCAGCTTGGTTATATCATTGCTGCCTCTCACAATGCCCCCTGCCTAGCGTAGATACTTAATGTTTGTTGAATTGAATTGAATCACTTTTGTTTCTCTGAGTTATCTGTTAGAGGTTGAAGATAGATGTTAAGGGACTTCTGGTCTAGATTGATATGTGAATGGGAAACACTGCCCAGACCCCACATACCTTCTCTAGCATAAGCCTAAAATTTGCCACAGAGTGAATAATGGCCATGACATTTAGTGAGAAATTACAGTGAGTGACTTCTTCTACCCCAGAACTGTGAAAAAAGTTAGTCAGAAGCCCATGGGCAATAGGAAAATTGGCTGTCAGTAAAGCCAGCACCAGCACAGACTAACAAAGCCTCCTAGCACAGCCAGAAAGGCAGTTAGATGGTACAGTGGATTAGAATGTTAGGTCTGAAGTCAGGAAGATCTGAGTTCAAATCCACCCTTAGACACTTATTAGATATGTAACCTTGGGTAAACTGCTTATTCTTTGTCTACCTCAGTTTACTCGACAATAAAATGGGGATAATAATAGTGCCTACCTCCCAGGGTTATTTTGAGGATCAAATGGGATAATATTTCTAAAGTACTTATCATAGTGCCTGGCAACATAGTAGGTACTTAATTGTTCCCATCTCCTTCCCCAGAGACAAAGAGCCTGTAAGATTTTGTGCCTAAAAGCAGGAAGAATAAAGTGCCTCAAAGAAAGACCCAGAGAGGGCAGAAATCCCCAAGGTGGGGGACCTTGGAAGAAACAGGGAGTGGCAGTGATGGTGTTCAGATTGGGACACTCCAGACCAAAGGGCTCCAATGTCCCTAGCACTCTGTCCTGAGATGCCATAGAGAGTCTTGAAGATCCAAGAATCCCATAGCAAAAATCCAGTTTTTCATGTCAAAGGGAGAATATCAAGAGCAAACAGAAGGAAGGAGTTCAAGTTCATGTCAGGATCACATATGATGTTGTAGCTTCCACTATAAATGAGAGGAGATCTTGGAGAACAATATTCCAAAAGGCAAAAAATTAAGCATGTAAACAAGAATAACTTATCTTGTAAAACTGAATGTACAATCCTAGAGGGGAAAACTGGTCAAAAGATGAGTAGAGATCTTAAAGTACAAACACAAGAATCAGAAGAAATCTAGAAAAGTAAATGTATTCAATCAATTAGAAGGGGCTGTGTGATGATGTCAGGCTAACATTTTAATGGGGAAGAAGAAACAGCAGTTCCTTTTGAACCCAAATGTCTTCAAAAATATTGAGGGAGCTAGATTAAAAAAAAGAGAGAGAGCAGAGAACCTATAGTAGATTGGTTGTGTTCTGAGTGTTTGAAGAGGGAAAAGAGAAGGGAAGGTAAAAGGAGGAATTCTTCATTGTTGTTCAATCATGTTTGACTCTTCATGACACCATTTGGGGTTTTCTTGGCAAAGATACTAGAGCAGTTTGTCATTTCCTTCTCCAGCTCATTTTACAGATGAGGAAACTGAGGCAAACAGGGTTAAGTGACTCCCCCAGGGTCACACAGCTAGTAAGTATCTGAGTCAGAATTTGAACTCAGGTTTTCCAGACTCCAGGTCTGATACTCTAGCCACTGTACCACCTTGCTGTCCCCCAAAAAGGAGGAATATACTAGTATAGAAAGGATGGACAAGGAAGTGGAAGCTGCTATTTTTTTGTGATGCATGAAATTTTACAAACAGTAGAAAAAAATAGGGGGAGTGGGAATCAGATGAATATCACTTTTGTCTGACAAAGGAGGGCTAAACACATACATGCACATGTATACACTAACACTTTGATATAGAAATGTATCAAACTCCACAGAGAAACAAATGGAGATAGGGAGAGGAAGAGGGTTAAGAAGGGAGAATAATACCAGGGAGGAAATAGTCACAACCAAAAGTAAATTCCCGATCCTGAAAAGGGACTTAAAGGGGGAAACAGAGAAAAGAAAAGAAAACTAGAATGTAAGGAGATAACCATCAATTGGGAAATGACTGAACAAGTTGCTAAATACAAATGAATAAGAAAAGAGACAATTTCAGAAAATGCTGGGTAATATGAACTGATGCAGTACACAGTATTGCAGTAAACAGGACCAAGAGAAAAATTTATACAAGGACAACAACGTTGTAAACCAAAAACTTTGAAAACATAAGAATTATTAACAAAGCAATGACCAACCATATTTCCAGTGGTCCTGTGATGAAGAATGCTACCTACTTCCTGACACAGAGATGATGGATTCAAGGTACATAAAGAGACAAACATTTGGACATAGATGCTGTGTTTTGATTGGCTATGCTTATTAGTTAACAAAGTTTTTTTTTTTCCAATTTTTAAACAGAGGAAAATACTTATGCTTTTTTCCAAAAAGAGGGCCATTGAAACATTTTTTAAAATAGATAAAACAAAAAGAAGTTCAGAAGGAAGTAATCAAGAAGTACAATTTTAGAAATAACAAATTTATTATATACTTTCAAAAAACTAAGCAAGCAGTAGGAAACAGAGAATCAATTTTATATATGATCTTTTTTTGTGTTCTGAAATAATATTCATGTGATGTCCGCTCCCCCCATTCTTTCTTCCATATTTGTAAGTTCTTCTCCTACATACCAGAAATGTTCTTTTTAATAATTAAATTTAGAATAATTTTTAAAAAAGAACTTAGGTGTTAGGAAAGGCCTCTCAGACTCAGGTATTTAAGAGGTTATGTATAAGAATATATAGAGATCCAGACAAACATAAGGTTCTAAACACTTTCAGAATTTTTGGACTGGAAAAAAACAACGTCTACCTTTGCACAGGGCATAGTCTGATGTATATGGAGCCCTATAAATATTTGTTGAATGGATGAACAAAATGTAAAGTTAGTTTTGATAGACTCTTCAGGGCTTATTTTGTCTTGTGCAGACAGCCTTCACCTCAGTAATACCACTAAAAAAAATAATATAGTCATGTTTTAATACAGCAAAGACCTGTGATTTCTTAAGTGTAGGCATTCTTTTGGGCAGCTAGGTGCCTCAGTAGATAGAGTGCAGGGCCTGGAGTCAGGAAGACCCAACTTCATGATCATGAGTTCAAATCTGGCTTCAGGCACTTACTAGCTGTGTGACCCTGGGCAAGTCACTTAACCCTGTTTGCCTCACCTCCTCATCTGCAAAATAAGCTGAAGAAGGAAATGACAAACCACTCCAGTATCTTTGCCAAGAAAACTCCAAATGGGGTCACAAAGTTGGTCACAACTTAAAGGACTGAACAACAAAAATGCAGCTATCAGTCATTTCAACAAGTGTGCCAGCAAAAGGTATATTCAAGGCATGTTATTTTATACTGTATGTCTTGTTCATCTATTATCTGTATCCTTGACATGCTAACTGCTTCATTAAATATTCCATTCCTGAAAAATCATTCTGTGGATGAAAACTGTGCTTAA